CCTCCTCCTCCTCCTCCTCCTCTTCCTCCTCCCTCCTCCTCCTCCTCCTCCTCCTCCTCCTCCTCCTCCTCCTCCTCCTCCTCCTCCTCCACTCAAGCCTTTTCTGCCCTGGCAATTTCCCCAGGGCTGTCCCAGGACCTCCACGAGGTGCTTGAGGGACTTCCGTGCCCCTGTTCTTTCCAGTTCAGGTTTTACGGTCGACTGACGCTGGGACATCATGGGGTGCCACGTGCGCCATTCCCCCGCAGCCGAGGCAGCGCCGTGGCGTCAAGTAGTGGGATCTACTCGCCTTTGGAGCAGATGCAAAGGTTGCAACGCCTGCGAGTACAACGACCGCCTCTGCCCCACCCACCCTGCCTGCCCCAGGTGCCATCGGCCCATGAAGTTACACCGCTCTCGCTCGCGCAGCCCCAGCGTCGTTCGCTTCGGGCCCGAGGAGGTCATCGAGATCCCCGACCAGGCCGCGAACATCGAGGGCGGAGTCCAGGCGGGCGCCAAGGCACGCACATCTTCCAACGCCGAGCTGGCTGCCCACCTGCGGCAGGCCATGGCCATCGCCACCGACCCTGCCATGCAGGCGGTCCTCAACGCCCAGGTGCAGCGGCTGGGCGCCCCCGAGGCCGTCGTCATCAAGGACAGCGAGGTCGAGTCGATGAGGAAAGCCGACGGCGCCTGGAGAGCGGCTACGAACCATCACAACCAGGTCGTCAGCAACGTCATCAGGCTCCGCAAGGCGCTCGAGGCGGCCGAGTGCAAGGAGCAAGCCGCAGCGCTCGGGGTCGCCCGCACGGAGCAGGCCAAGAGGCGCGCGGCTGAGGCCCTCGCCAGGGCCGAGGGAGTCGGCCGCTGCGACCCGACCTCCCATGGCGTCCAGGGCGACGGCCAGCAGGAGCCCTTCACCGTCACCTGGGATCCCGACCTATTCAAGCAGATCGACGAGCTCGACTTCACGAGCAGGCCGAGCTGGACGCCGTCAAGAAAGGGCTGGAGGACCTCCAGCAACAGTTCGCTACCAAGGGGCCGCAGGTCACGAGCCTGATCGACAGGGCCCGCAAGGTCCGCAGCGCTCAGGAGGCCAGGTACGCCATGAAGCGCAAGGGGGCCGACGGCCAGACCAACGGCGGCACTCCAGGGCAGGCTGACGAGGCAGCCACCCCGCCGCGTGGCTCCAGTGGCGCGGCTGGCGCCGAGGTCGGCTCAGTCGACGGCAGCGCGAGCCCCAACCTCGCCGAGGCCGCGCCTACCAAGGACGGCGACCAGCGGTTGGCTGCCGAGGCCGCCAAGCTCTCGGCGGCTCGTTTCGCGGCCCAGGCCGCAGCCGCCGACGCCAGCCGACCAGGAGGAGTTGCTGCAGAGTCTGCCGCCAAGGCCTGCGCCAAGGGCAAGGGCAGACGCAACGGCCGAGCTCATTCCGAGTGACTGGGCACAGCAGGGTCACCGCCAGCTGCGTGCACGGTGAGCGCCCCTGCCGCTCACGACGCCGTCGCAGCTACTGCCAGTGCAAGTACATCCTCTACATTGTTCTTTGACAACATCACATGTGCTGGCCAGAAGGCGTTCGACTGGGTCGAGACCTCGACGGACGACTTCGCGGCATTTGTCGAGACACACATCTGTGACAGCAGTGTTGGCAAGTGGAAGGCACGATGTCGGGATATCAATCGTCGCCTCTTCGCCAATCTTGCGAGACCTCCTCAGGTTGATCCGGAAGTAGGGAGACCACACGATTCTAACAGTGAATCTACAGTCGCTCCTGAGCATGCCAATGAAGGAGGAGAGTGGTTTCTTCCCAGAGGCCACCTCCGCGCCCATCCTCTTTTAGAGGCCACCCAGGCCAAATGGCCCCAGTGTCTTCCCACCTCCAGCAGCCTCGACGGTTTCCGCCCTGTTGTGATTCACTTCAAGGGGCACTCCATTGCGGCTGTCTTCTTTTACGCGTTTTGCAGCATAGGCCTGAGCGGGCCCAACGTCGGCCGCTTCAGACGTCTTGGGGGCCTCCTCAGGTCCCTCCAGCTACCCTGGCTTGTCGTCGGGGACTGGAACCTCAGCCCTGAAGCTCTCAGTAGGACTGGCTTGCTTCAGCAGGTCCAAGGGGAGATCCGATGTGCACCTGTCGAATACACGCACGACCCTGGCGGCGGACGTAAGCCATCTCATTTGGACCACGTTGTTCACAGCGCTGCTGCTCGCCCGTGCCTGGTCGACGTTTCCGCTGTGCATGATATACCGTGGAAACGTCACATAGGTTTAAGAATTCGGCTCGTTCAAACAGGAGACCAGCTCCTGACTAGAATCCTCGGCTTGCCCAGGCGGCCCCCCGCTGCCAATAGGCCACCCAGGTTTGCCACCCCTGGCTCCAAGGCCAGCCGCGCCAGAGCTGCCAGGGAGGAAGCCCGACTCAAGACAGAGGCTAACAGGCTGACCCTTTTTCAGACGCTCACTCAAGGCTTTCAGGGCAATGACCCTGCAGAGCTGTCTACCAGTGCTGGTGAAACGTCCGATAGCGACGCGGCCGAATCCCAGCTCGCGGACAGCTCAGATGAAGAAGACCCTTGGGCTCACGAGAGCAGTTTCAGCCCACATGCGCCTGTCGCTGCCCCGAACATTGCCCGCGTCGGGACAACAGACATGTCGCCAAGCCATGCAGTGGAGTGCCAGGTTTTTCCTTCCAATCAGCAGTGCACTGCTTCGCCCAACAGTGATTCTCACAGCGAACATGGTCATGTTGCTGCCTTTGCCTGTTCCGTCGCCCGCCCCGATGGCGAGCCGCAGCAACAGCATAAGGACGCTTTCTCTCTGCTTGTTTCTGCCTCTGTTGACAGTCAACCCGTTATCTCACTCAGCACAGTCAGACAGTCAAGTTTAACAGATAGTAATTTGACAGCCCAGCGTGAGAACCCCCCCCCCCCCCCCCCCCCCCCCCAGCGACCCTGACACAAGCCAGGGGGCCCAGCCTCCGTGCCGAACCCGAAGCCCCGAATTCGACATCAGCCCTGAGCTCTGGAGTGCCCACAGGCAACAAATCAGTGTCCTGCCGCCGCATGCTTCGCGGCCTGCTCTTTCTGCTGCTGGCTCCGTAGCCTTTAGGCTCAAACCTGACATCGCCTTGCAGCTTGGGCATCTCTACGGTTCTTGGGTCACGACCGTCCATTTGCGCACGCCACCAGATCCCTTTCAGCGGAACCTCACGTGCCCAGGGACCGCAGTATCAGACCGAAGTTGTGCGAGAGCTGCAGTGTCGGCGCATCTCCCCGCTTGCAGACGGCAGCAGCACGTGGTGGACCACGCTCCACACCCTGCTGCAGGGCATCTACAGGCACAGGGCACGAGGCAACGGTCACCTCCAGCTCCAGCAGCTGCACCGAGGGATCGGAAGTCTGCACGAATCGCCCCCCAGACAGGCCGCTCACGTCATACACGGCAAGGACGGCTACAGCTGGACGCAGTGGCTTGATTTCCTCGGCAACATTCAGGAACACACCCCCGAACAGGTCGTCGCTGGTGCAGTAAGAGCATCACGCCTAGCACGGCGGGCGCAGCAGCGGACCATACGACGGGCCATCCACAATTTTCGCGACTGGGCAGTTACTGACGACGCCATAGGTATATTACATCGCTCACTACGACCCCAGCCACAACCCGCCGAGGTCACCATGGATCAAGGCACCACCATCATGCACCCCAAGGACCTGATCGACAGCAAGGTCGACACCTGGAGACGACTCTGGGCACCTGAGGGAGGCACCAACATGTGCGGCCTGCAGGAGCGTTTCTACCGCATCGTCGAACGGATCCAGGAGTGCCCGCTGCCGCCCATCACCAGTCATGAGGTGCGACAAGCCATCAAGCGCCTCAAGGCCAACACCGCCTTGGGAGCTGACCGACTTCGGCCAGCCGGCCTACTACGGCTTCCAGACAACGCACTCAGCGAGCTCGCCGAGCTTTTCAACATCGCGGAGCACGTACAGATGTGGCCTCATCATTTCCTTCACACCATCGGGGTCATGAGGGCCAAGAAGGACAACGGGGACAGGATACTCGGCATCATGACCATCATCGCTCGTCTTTGGTCCCTCATCAGGGAACCCTACGTTCAGGCCTGGAACAGGGACTACTTCGCCCACTGGGACGCCAT